TGGCCAAGCCCATGCCCTGGATGCTGGGGCCCCCTTGGGCCCTGGGGTTGATCCCTAAGGGGCTGTAGGAACTGTGCCCTGGCCTTTGCCTTCAGCTTGGCCTTTTGCTGCTCCCTTCTTGCATTCACCTGCTGTGCCTTTGTGCCCAAGTGCTGCAGGGCCTTCTTCTGCCCCTCCTGCAGCCCCCCTCAGTGCCTGTGGGTGCTTGTCTTGCTTTACAAGAGAGGTGTCTGCCCAGGAAGGCAGAAAAAGCCTCTCTTGGAATGAAGAATGCAAACCGCCTCCCTCTTAATTTCTAGATTAGTGAAATCAAGGGACTCTCAGGCAAAGATATGGGAATAGGAATAACAGTTCTTTACTAGTGTGTATAATAAAGCAAACAAACACCAACAGCTGCGGCACTGAGAGCAAACAGAGCCCGGACCCAGTCCCGGCCTTTGGGCTGTGGCGCTTTGCCCTTGGGTGCAGTTCCGGGCATGGTCGGCCGGGGCGCTGGTGGCTCGGGCGGGGCAGCGCATCCCTCCCATGGGAACCTCTCTGAACAGAAATAGAGCAATCCCTTCATCTAACTCTTTCACTTTTTTACCTTCTATAGCCTTTCTCCTGTGTTTTGAGAAAGAATTTGGAGAGGGCTGCCTTTTAACTGAGCTCCTAGTGTTTCAATAAGGTGCTTCCTGTAGAGAGAGAGAGTTTCCCTGAACAGACGGAGATGTGGTTACCAAGGGGACGTAACTCAGAGCAGGACAGGGTCAGGGGAGGATATCCCGCCGAGGCTCGGTCAGAGTGTGAGCAGGGTCTGCTGCCGGAATCGCCAGAGGGGGATCTTCCCGTGGAGTCCGAGGCGGAGCATGGGTAGCCCCCACATGGCTGATGGCGGCTGATCTGGCAGCTCCCGGCAGAGCAAAGGCAGGTGGGAGAGCCCGGCAGCAGCGGCGGTGCCCAGCGCAGGTGGCACGGGCAGGGCAGCCGGGGATGGGATGGCTGGGACTCCCCCTGGGTGCAGTGGGCACGGTGACCTCGGAGCAGGCGGCAGGAGAGAGCAACCCCCATCTTCCCCAGCATGGCCGGCAGAGCGGCTGCGGGCCAGGCAGTTGGAGCAGGGCAAACAAATTGAGCGATAGCGCCGGGGCAGGTGGAGCTGCCCTGGGCAGTGAGGCCGCACCTGGGATGGAAACCGGGGCAGGCGGAGCTGAGGCGGGCAGTGAGCCGGGACCCGGGACAGGCGCCTGGGCCGCGAACGGAGGGGGCAAGACCTGCAGAGGATCCCACTCTCTTTCTGATTTTTCCTTTTGTTCCTCTGCCTTTCATTTCCCTTTGTCTTTTCTTGTTTTTTTCTCAGAGGTTTCTCATCCTTTAAAGATTTTTATTCTTCTAAAATCTCCTGTCTAGCATATGGCATATTCTCTTTCTTTTAGATTAAATGGGTTTTTTTACAAATAAATCCAGAGCCTAGCAAATCTAAACTTCTGCTTGGATACTTTGAAATGGCCGATGAGCTAAGTCATGACCTCCTAATGTTGTTTTTCTCATCACTTTTTCATTTATCCTTTGGCAAATTAAGCATCTTTCAGTTACTTGCTTTGCAAATCCAAAAATCCCAATGCACCCATAGTTCCTTAATAAATGATCGCACAAAGCTTGAGTGCCCCAGTGGGTTTTTTGATGCATGTCTTCTAATATTTTCCTAGAAGCACATTTTATTAAGTAATTGTCTTTCATCATGAAGTTTCCATTTCCCTGATTTATCTTGTTCATTTCCTGTCTTGTTTAATTCTTTTTTCTTGGCTTTCCAAAACTTTGGAATTTGTGGGTTTTCCTCATTTGAAGTTAATATTAACATAACTCTTTCAGCTCCATTTTCTGCTGCATCCTTAGCTTTGTGATCTACCAAATTATTTCCTCTTCTTTCTGGTGTCTTTCCCTTTTGGAGTTCCATAATATGTACTATAGCTATCTCTTTTAGGTAATTGTAATGCCTCTAAAACCTCTAAAATAAGTTCCTCATGTACTAGTCCTTTTCTTCTTGAATTAAGCAATCTTTTTCCTTTCCAAATTTTTTACAGGTGTGTACTACTCTAAAGGCATACCTTGAATCAGTATATATAGTTCCTTTATTTTGTGTTTAATATTCTAGTGCTCTTTTTAAAGTATATCATTCACAAGTTTGAGATTACTAGTTTAAGGTTAATTTCCCTTTTTCCATAGTTTGCACGTTTTTCCCATCAACTACTACATACCCTGTATTTTCTCCTTTTGTAAGGAGGTGTATCTCTGTTAACTAACATAACTCCCAAAGGATTATTTCTTTTTTTTTTTTTTCCCTGTATGCAACTTACTGGTTTTCTGTCTCATTTTCAAGATCTTATCTATTAATCTTCTTCCTCTGTTTTTCACATTCACTAACAACGTAAATACCACTTTTCTTTCAACTACACACAGAAAAATAAAAAACTTTTTTCTCACACTACTTTCAGTACAATACACCTCCCTCCAAGGAGATATAGTGAAGCTTAAAATACAGAATCTACATTACCTATATTTTCATTCATATACATTCACTCACTTTTATTTCTCACTCACTTCCACACATTCTTTCCCACACTCAGGACACAGAGTGGATCCCTGTTGACAGAGAATCGCGGGTCCCTATGGCCCCCCCTCGCCTTGGGGTTGGCCTCTGGGTCTCAGTATCTCCGGGCCTCCTGGAGGGCCCTGACTCTGCTGCCTCGGGTGCCGTTCACCTGTGAGGCTGATTTGTGTGTCACTCACACTCTTTAGCCACGGCCCCCTCACACGCCCTGGGGACAATGGCCCGTTTGCAGGTCACCTGTACCTTATGCCACAGCCCCCACACGCCCAGGAGAACAATGGCTTATTTGTGGGTCACACACTCCTCTTTCCACAGCCACCCTTCCCACCCGCCTGGGAAGCTGAGGCTGATTTTGTGTGTGACTCACTCTCACACACAACAAGACAACAATAAGGTATCTTTTGTTATAAATGATCAAATCGAGAGCCAAACTTATAGGAAAATTTAGCAAAGATTTATTAATTTGTCTGCAAGACAGAAGTTCGGTCATCTACGCTACCACAGCCAAGGGTCAGCATCGAGCCCGGGTTCAGTGCTGGGTGAACACGGATCTGAGCTCCGAATGTCAGAGTCTCCCCCTGTTCACAAATGCTGCCTGACGCAGCGAGTTCTTTTACAGTTTATTCTGCCCGAGGCAGAGATGACAGAATGTTCTAGCAGGTTTTAATTCTGGATGCTCTTGGGCTCTCTTATCCCTCAAACCAGCAGATTTTTTAGGAGCCCCTTTTGTCCCGTTTCCTAGTGGATTGGGCTCAGAAACTCCTCTGCTCCCTTCCTCGGAGGGTCCAGCCCCTCTCTGAGACCCAGTCCCAGTTACCCGGGGGATTCTCTCACTCTTCTTATCACTCGCTGTGTCTCTTTACTGGCTGCTTCCCTCGAGGAAAGTTGGAAACGCAGCGTGGCAGACTCCAGCACTCACTTGGCAGGTCTGGGAGAACCAGTCCTTGTCTCATTCACAGGCGAAAGCAGGGAATGAGGGGAGAAGGGAGCCCAGGAGCCCAAACAGCCCCAGCATCCCGAAATGGGGAGAGTGAAGTGGGGGGAGCTTTTGGCATTGCTGGGACTGCCAGCAGCCTGGGCAGGGTGGGCACCGGGCACAAGGGGGACCCCCAATCCAAGCGTGACCCCGAGCAGCTGGGACAGGGGGGAATCCCTGAACACCAGAGGGGAGGGACCAGGGACGGGGAACTCCTGGGAGGCTTTTTCAGGGCTGAATCTGGGTGTTTGGGAGGTTTTTCTGGAGCCCTGATGGCCAGTGATTGTAGAGATGGACTTGGGCAGAGCAACCTTCAAACTCAGTGTGTGTTGGGGAAGATGAAACAGGAAAGCCTTATAAATGCGATTGTCTGGCAAAAGATTTTGTGAACATAAAAAGTATAAGGAAGATTGAAATGAAAGCAAGCTTTGAGATACCTCAGTTATTGAACAACTGGAAAACAATGGTGTGGCCCAACTGAAGGTAATCCCCTTTTGATGAAACAATTCCCTCTGCTTGCAGACAGATCCAAGGGTCAGAGCAGACCCCACTACCTCAATAGAAAGGGTCCAAAGAGGAGTTTTTAGGGTTTAAAATGTAACACAGTATGGTGATATAATGATTTTTACAGGCTGTATGTAAATGCTGTAGGATTTGCATCTGGTACCAGATTGGTTAGTGAGAAATAGAATATTCAACAAAGAAGAAAATTTATTGTATTGTAACGGGACCCTTCCTCTCTTACACTCTTCTCCTCTTACTCTCTTACCCTCTCACCCTCTCTACCCCTCTCTTCTCTCGGCCCTGCTCCGAGCTGTGCCTGGCGGCTCCATCAGGGCCCTGCACCCAGGCCCTTTGCAATAAACCGCAAGTTCCACGACCTGGCTGCAGAGCTCTCTCGTCTCCGTCCATCCCAACCGTCCTACCCCCCGACACTCCTACAAACGCGCTCATCCCTTGTTTTCCCCAAACCAGGATTTCCCATTGCCAAGGCCTGGGAGGCTGCGAAGAAGAGGAAGATGCCCCGGGACACTGAGGCAGGTGAGGAGGAAGTCAGTGCCCCTTTCCCCTCTGTGCTGCTCCATCTCCCAGCCCAGCACGGCCCCGGCTGCAGCTCAGCCCTGGGGGGATCTCCTTGCCCTTGCCTGTGGCACGGAGGCAAATCCCATCCTGTCCTTGTCCTTCCTCCCCCAGAGCAGGAGCTGAGCATGGAGAGCAGGGAGGACAAATGCCCGCGGCAGAACCTCGTGGCAGTGGCCGTTTTGAGCGGCTCCACGGCGCAGGAAGCCAACGGGGAGGAAAAGCCCCGGAGATGCCGCACGAGGAGGGGCTGCAAACGCAGCCGGCGGGGATCTGAGGGGGAAGCAGCCAGCCTGGGCCAGGAAGGCAGCCGGAGATGGAGCCAGAGCTGGGAGCTGGTGCTCCATGAGCAGCTCCATGATGGGGAGAAACACCACACATGTGGGGAGTGTAGGAAGTGCTTCAGGTGGAAAGGCGACCTGATCAGGCACCAGAGGATCCACACTGGGGAACGGCCCTATGAGTGTGGGGAGTGTGGGAAGAGCTTCAGCCAGAGCTCCAACCTGAACCAGCACCAGAGGATCCACACTGGAGAAAGGCCGTACAAGTGTTCCGAGTGTGGGATGTGCTTCAGCCGGAGCTCCAGCCTGATCACGCACAAGAGGACCCACACTGGGGAGAGGCCCTATGAGTGTTCCAAGTGTGGGAAGGGGTTTCAGGCCAGCTCCCATCTCCTCCAGCACTATCGGATTCACAGAGAGGAGAGGCCCTTCCAATGCCCCGACTGCGGGAAGGGATTCAAGGACAACTCCACCCTTGTCAAGCACCGGTGCATCCACACTGGGGAGAGGCCCTATGAGTGTGATAAATGCAGGAAGAGGTTTCAGACCAGCTCCTGTCTCCTCCGGCACTATCGGATTCACAGAGAGGAGAGGCCCTTCCGCTGCCCCGACTGCGGGAAGGGATTCAAGCACAACTGCAACCTCATCAGACACCGGCGCATCCACACAGGGGAGAGGCCCTACGAGTGTCCCCGGTGTGGGAAGAGCTTCTCCAGCAGCTCTGACTTGACCCAACACCAACGGAGGCACCAGTAAGGGAAGCCCTGTGAGTGCCCCGAGTGCGGGCAGAGCTTCGTGCGCTGCTCCAGCTCCATCCGCCACTTTGGGCACAGCCCTGGTCACTCCCATTCCCTGTGATCCATGTTGAGAACACAGCTGGCTGCTTCTACTTTTAATTTCACCTTAATTTTTTTCTATTCTCCATCTCTTTGCACTGCAGAAGCCAAGAGGAATGGATCTGTCACCTCAAAACCACTGAAATCCCAGTGAAAACAGCTCAATCTTACCCCAAAAAGAGCTCAAACCCACCTCAAAAAACTCAGTCCCACGCCAAACTCACTCGATTCCGCAGCCATCAGGCTGAGATGAGGTTGGGAGGTGATTTAGAGTCGTGGGATCTCAGTTAGAGTGGTGGGATGGAGATTGTGTGGGGCTGGGTGTGTCGGATGTATTTGACAGCAAATAAAATTCTGAGACTTACTGATTTCTCTCCCGTTCATGTTCAGTCTGTTGCAGTTCTGTTTGCAGAGTGCTGCCTTCTCAGCTCATTGTCTTGGTGTCCCCTTTTCTCTCCCGCCACTCTTTGCTGTCTCTGTTTCTCTCTCAGTGTCTCCATGGATCCAGGGACCACCAGAGACCCTCCCTATATTTAATTGCCTCAGGGACCACCCAATACTCTCCCCTGATTTATTGCCCCAGTGACCACCAAAGACCCTCCCCTGATTAAATTGCCCCCTCCCCTAATTTAATTGACCCCTGCCACCAAAGACCCTCCCCAGATTTTGTTGACCTTTCCCTGATTTAATTGACCCCTCCCCTGAATTGACCCCTCCCCTGATTTAATTTACCCTTTCCCTGTTTTAATTCCCCTTCCCCTGATTTAATTGACCCCTGCCCTGATTTAGCTGTCTCATTCCCTGATTTAATTGACCCTGCCCTGATTTAATTGACCCCTGCCCTGATTTAGATGACCCCTCTAGGGTCCCCACAGACCCTCCCCTGATTATTTATTATTTTATTTCCCAATTAGTATTTCAATTCCCAGTCCCAGGAGCTGAAGTCCTGAAGGCTGGTAGGGAAATGTCTCTGTAGGATTTTGCTCCATTTCCCTTCAAGGGCAGGAACATCTTTTCCTGAATGGGAGCTGGAACTGCAGACTTTTGGAATGTGTGCAGGGCAACACGGACTGGGATCAAACATGGACTAGGATCAGATAGGGGTTGGGATCAAATATGGACTGGGATCAAACAGGGACTGGGATCAAAGAGGGACTGGGATCAAATAGGGACTGGGATCAACTATTCACTGGGATCAAATATGCACTGGGGTCAAATATGGACTGGGATCAATTATTGATTGGAATCCTACAATGTAGGATAAACTGGACTGAGGTTATATAGACTGGGATCAAATATGGGCTGGGATCAAATATGTAATTAGGATAAAAAATGGACTGGGATCAAATATGGACTAAAATCAACTATGGACTGGGATAAACTGGACTGGGATCAAATCAGGACAGGGATCGACTTTGGACTGGGATCAAATATGGCCTGGATCAAAAATGACAGATTTTATGGACTGGGATCAAATATGGACTAGGATAAGCTATGTACAGGGATTAAATATGGACTGGCATCAAATTTGGATTTGGATCAAATGGACTGGGTTCCTGCAGACTGGGATAAACTGGACTGAGATTATATAGATGTCGTGGTTTGAGAGGAAGTTAGTTTTCTGGGATATGAAGTGGTCAGGCCAATAGGTGCTCACATTTGAATACTGGCACCTGGTTTGGCCACTGGGGACATTGGATACGCCTCTGAGAACTCAGGGGTTAAAAAGCAGAGCACTCCCGGGGGAAGCTCTCTTGGGTTCCAGCGAGGGAAGCAGGTCGGGCCTCCCCTGCCCAGCTCCTGGCTGGTTTGGGGCTGGGTGAGGTAGGCCTGGCCCGAGGATGGAAGGGTGGAAGAGCCCCGAGAGGCATCGGGCAGCCACACCTCCCCCCCAGGAGAGAGAGAGAGACAGAGCGCCTGTGCCACCGTGAAATTTGATATCCTGTGCTGGCAGCACAGCCCGGCTGGGGGAGAAGGGCGGGGGGGATGCAGCGAGAAGGGGTCCAGCCACTGTGAGAGCTTTGGGTGGGCAGAGCCCGAGCTTTTAACCCTTTTTCGGACAAGGAAAGCTTTGCAGAACATTAACCTTTCCTAGAAGAGAGATAAGAGATGAAATGGAGGAAGGAAATGTGCAAGTGTGAAGGTCTGGGCAAGTGAAAGATGTCAGGAGAGTAGAGAAGAATCTTAGGTGGGAAGAGATGATGGAGTGGCCTTAGCTGGACTTTTCTTGTGTAGCCATGGACAGAACCATGTTTCCTGTGACACAGAGACTGCATCCAGGGGGAGGCAATGGCTCAGAGCCAAGAGGGTTCAGTGTTGGTACCCCTTGGCCCCAGGGGGTGAAATTTGGGGGGCACAGGTGTCCCAAAGGTGAGACTGTGCCCTTTTTGGAAGGACAACCCTAGAAGCAGCTCTGGTCCATGTGCAGTGGTGAGAGCACTGGGCATGGAAGGAAGATGTCACGATGGCAGATGTTCTCCAGGCGGTGCCACGAGTGACGTGGAAACACACGAGGTTTCAGCGGTGTTTCCTGGGGAGGCCTATGGCACAAGAAGGACTCCTCTCCCCTTGATGAACTGAGAATTGATTACCTAAAGGGTGGTGATGGACCGAGAGTTGGTGATTTGGAGGATAGATGTATTGGAAATCTGGTGGGAGGGGGAGGAAATGTTTTTGGAAAGTTTTCATTTTCCCTGTGTGTTTCTTGTTACTTAGAGTTGTAGTTTAGTTAATAAAGGTTTCATTTCTTTATTTCTAAGTGGGGGCCTGCTTTGCTTATTCCTGGTGACATCTCACAGCAGACACCAGGGAGCACATATTTTCATGGGGACACTGGCATTGTGCCAGCATCAAACCATGACACCTACACTGCCAGTTGGCCTTTTTCCACCTCTCCAGCCATCCCCACAGAGCATTGGCTACCATCCATGAATCAGTGTAGAGGTGGAGCTTTGGCCATTTCTCTCCCTTAGCATTGTCCAGGCCCAGCTGAACGGCTTTGAGTTCTGTAAGTTGACTTGATCCACCTTCTCCTTCAGCAGCCTCTGCAACCTGTCATGTGGGGCTCCATACGGCTGCTTTCCACTTCTGGTCCATCCCTGCGATGTGACAGGAACCGTCAGTGAAAAGAGCATAGCGCATTTCCTCTGGGGGCAGTTGGTTATAGGGAGGAGCCTCTTCAGCCCATGTCACTGGTTCTTGTTGCTCTTCATCAGTAAGACCAAAGTTCTCACCTTCCAGCCAGTTTGTAATTATCTCCAAAATCCCAGGGAGATTCAGGTTTCCAATACAGGCGCACTGTGGGATAAGAGCAATCCATTTACTCCATGTAGCGTCAGTGGTGTGGTGGGGGGTGGGAACCTTTCCTTTGAACATCCACCCCAGCACCGGTAGTCGGGGTGCCAGGAGGAGTTGTGCTTCTGTGCCAATCACCTCTGAGGCAGCTTGGACTCCTTCATAGGCAGCCAAGATTTCCTTCTCTGTGGGAGTGTAGTTGGCTTCTCACCCTCTGTAGCTTCGACTCCAAAATCCCAGTGGTCGGCCTCGAGTCTCCCCAGGCACCTTCTGCCAAAGGCTCCAGGACAAGCCATGGTTCCCGGCTGCAGAGTAGAGCACGTTCTTCACCTCTGGTCCTGTCCTGACTGGGCCAAGGGCAACTGCATGAGCAATCTCCTGCTTGATCTGGGCAAAGGCTTGTTGCTGCTCAGGGCCCCAGTGGAACTCGTTCTTCTTGCAGGTGACCAGGTAAAGAGGGCTCACGATCTGACTGTACTCAGGAAGGTGCATTCTCCAAAAGCCTATGGCACCTAGGAAAGCTTGTGTTTCTTTCTTATTGGTGGGTGGAGACATCACTGTGATCTTGTTGATTACGTCTGTAGGAATCTGATGCCGTCCATTAATAAGGCCTCCGATCAGCCTTATCATGAAGCAGAGCCTTGGTGCTCAGGATCTCAGTCCCTGAGGAGGGACCGGGTGCCCGAAGCCAGCTCAGGCCAATGCCGCGGGGCTACCTTTCCAGCAAGCCTGGTGATATTCAGCTCTATAGTGATTAGCAGCTCTTAGGACCTCAGCTCTTTGCTTGCTGGGTAGTGGAGCCCCGGGCTTGAGGCAGCAGCAGACGGAGAGAGGAGAAGGAGAAAGCAGAAGCTGTTCCACAGAGAAGGCTTTATCTGGGGGTCCGCAAAGGGTCTCAGCTCTTCTTCTTCTGAGCTAGTAGGGTACAGCATGCTACTTTTATAGGCTTGGCAAGTATCCAAACTTGACCAATGGCAAGGGATTAGGGGGACCATAAAATGACCGATAGGTAAAGGCTACCATGGCATTGCCTCACATGGTTATAGGGATAGGTTATAGGGCAGATGTCCATGAGTCAGGAAGCTTCCTTGCTGCTGTGCCAGCATTCCTTTTGTTAGATTCTCCATGGTGCTTTTGCTAAATGTAGGGGGTTTACTACAGTCCATCTTGCCACTTCACTGCCAGGAACTGAATCTCACAAGCTGGTCCCTTTACCTTGACTTTCTAATGGCAAAACCAGCTCCCAGGAGGATTTGGATGATTTCCTTCCCTTTCTCAAACACTTCCGCAGCTGTGTTCCCCTCACACAATGATGTCATCAATATACTGCAGATGTTCTGGAGCCTCACCCCTTTCTAGTGCAGTCTGGATCAGTCCATGGCAGATGGTGGGACTGTGCTTCCACCCCTGGGGCAGTCGGTTCCAGGTGTACTGCACTCCCCTCCATGTGAAAGCAAACTGAGGCCTGCATTCTGCTGCCAGAGGAATGGAGAAAAATGCATTGGCAATGTCTATAGTGGCAAAGCACTTTGCTGCCTTGGACTCCAGCTCGAACTGGAGCTCTAATATGTCTGGCATGGCAGCGCTCGGTGGTGGAGTCACTTCATTCAATGCACGGTAGTCCACAGTCAATCTCCATTCTCCTTCAGATTTTCGCTCAGGCCAAATGGGGCTGTTGAACGGTGAGTGGGTCTTGCTGACCACCCCTTGGCTCTCCAGCTCTTGGATCATCTTTTGGATGGGGATCACAGCGTCTCGAGTGGTTCTATACTGTCGTCGATGCACTATGGAAGTGGCAATTGGCACCTCTTGCTCTTCTCCCTTCTGAAGTCCTACTGCACATGGGTTTTCTGACAGTCCAGGCAAGCTGTTCAACTGCTTGACACCCTCTGTCTCTACAGCAGCTATTCCAAATGCCCATCTGAGTCCCTTTGGGTCTTTGAAATACCCACGTCGGAGGAAGTCTATACCTAAAATGCATGGGGCTTCTAGGCCAGTCACAATAGGGTGTTTCTTCCACTCATTTCCAGTCAGGCTCACCTCATTTTCCCCCAAAGTAAAATCCTGTGATCCTGATCCCCCTGTCACACCAGCAATAGAAACAGACCCCGTCCCCACATGGAATCCTTCCGTAAGCCACAAAGGTCCTTCAGGGAAAAGGACTCAATATTTGCATCTGATCTTGCACCTGCTGCTTTGACTCCTGATTTTATGTCAGGAGGCATTGAGGTTCCTTCTCCTTCATCATCATCATCCTCATCATCCACTGGTCGATTGGTCTTGTCCGTGCATTTCCCACTTCTAGTACTGGCAGCAACAGCCATTGGTTGAGGCTTATTTTCTGGTTTAGCTGCTGGCTTAGGCTCACTATCTGGTTTGGCTGCTGGCTTCGAGCCTGGGCTGTTGGCTGCAGCCTGAGTCACCGGGATAGTTGCTGATTTATCTCCCTGCCCCCCTGCCTCTGTCTGCTGCCGGACAGGATCCAGCAGTGAGCGATGAGCACAAGCCAGGGCCCAGCTGACTGCAATGACCTTCCTCTCCTTAGGCTCATCCTGGGACTTCTCTTTCAGATATTTCCCCACCTCAGCTGGGTTCTGAATTTGTTCATGGGGAAAATCCCAGACTATAGGGTCAGAGAATTCCTTCAGGATTTGGCCCATATCCTCCCATTTCCCACACCACTTAGGATTTTCCACACCGGGGTCTACTCCTGAGTCAGGGGTCTCATCAGCCCGTCTAGAAATCTCAGCCCTCATCCTAGAGAAGCAGCAGTCTGTATAGACAAAGGTTACCAGATTGAATACCAGGAAGATGGTTTCTTTAACATTGAGGGGAAACTGAACATCCTTCAATAGTGATGCAACTGATACATAGGAGAAGAAGGAAAGCAGAGGCTGAAAGCCCTCATTCCCTCCTGCTCCTCCTGCAACAAACTGGATGCATAACCATAGCCACGAACCATTCATACCTGGAGCAGACCCCAGCATGTTTATAAACTTTTTACACATCATTACCACCAAGCCCAGCAGGATAGCTACTCTGGTCACTGCCCCTCGGCTATAAAAACTACATATTAGGGACAATACTAAAGCTATTTCTGGGTAAGAAAATAAACCTAGGGACCATAGAGGTATTAAAATCTCAAAAAACCTTAGGGACCAGAAATGCATGCAAGTCTTCACCCCAACAGACATTATGAATTCAAAAAGCATGGCTATTAGCTGATTTAAATGAACACAGAGTAATAGCAACCAAAATGCAGTCAGGATGGGCGCTAAATTTTGTCCTGGTTTATGGCAAATTTGGTAGAGAATCTCCAAAGGGGGCCCCTCTAGAAAGCGAACGCACACGGCCCCTCCCCCCAACCGGTTTGGGAAGAATTCCTCAGAGAGAAGAGGAAAGAACCTGTTTATTTAACAGGCAGAGCACCCCCAGCACACAGAATGAACAATACTGGATGACACCGCTCTGAAAAAGGTGACAAATTCAGAAAGTCTCTCTTGGGGGTGGTTGCTCTGTTCTCAGTCCCTCCGGCACTGGGGCAGCTGCTGCAGCCACAAGGTGCAAACTCTCGGTGTTCCCAGGTCCCTGTCTGGAGCAGGTTTGAGATGGTCGAAAAAGAGGAGAGGACAAACAGTCCAGGAAGGAATTTGGACTGTATAGCTAAATTAGTTAATGAGCAGGAGCAAAAGCAAGCAGAAGCAAGAGCAGAGAGAGAGAGAGCGAAGCAAAAAGCAAAAGCAGCAAAATCAAGACCCGCAGTCTCTCTGTGTCCCGCCAGGCTGATAAGAATACCCAAACAAAACTTTCAGTCTTCAGAGCCAGTCTTAAAGGCACAGAACATGATATCCAGCATTAACAGAACACATGAATGGGGACATAAGCATCATAACGTCACCCTAGGACACCTTCGAAATCTGGTGCAGGAGCAGTTGGACCAGGGTCATCTGGAGACTTCTACCAGTCCCTGGAACACTCCTGTCTTCTGCATCAAGATAAAATACAGGAAATGGACGTTGTTACAAGGCCTTCAAAAGGTCAATGTCATGATGGAAAGCATGGGAACATTGCAGGCGGGCATGCCGTCGCCTACCATGCTTCCCGCAAACTGGCCAGTCCTCATCGTGGATCTGAAGGATTGTTTTTTGCAATTCCTTTGCATCCTGATGACAGACCAAAATTTGCCTTCTCGGTGCCAGCAATTAACAATGCTGAGCCCACACAGCAATATCAATGGAAAGTTTTGCACCAAGGAATGCCAAATTCTCCGGCCATAGGCCAATGGTATGTGGCCTGTGTCTTGTCTGGAGTTCACAAGCAGTTTTCTGATGCACGTCTGTATCATTATATGGACGACATTTTAGTGTCTGCATCCAGGACGAGCTGCTGAGGATTAAGCCTCAGTTGCTCAATGCTTTGTATTCTCATGGGCTGCAGGTGGCTCCAGAAAAGGTTCAACAACAACCTCCTTGGAAGTATTTGGGGGTCAAAATTCTGGAATAGACAATCCGACACCAGGAGGTGCAATTTGTACATTTGGTGAAGACACTGAATGATGCCCAGAAATTGGTAGGTGTCATCACTTGGTTACGTCCGTACTTGGGACTGACCAACACACAACTGTCTCCTCTGTATGATTTATGGAAAGGAGACAATGGTCCTGCTTATGCATCACAGAAGATGTGGCAGTTCCTGCAGTTGTGGGGTGTGTCACACAGGTTTGGTATCCCTCATGCTCTGACTGGTCAGGCTATTGTAGAAGATGCTTGTGGTACTCTGAAGCGGGTTCTTCAGAAACAAAAACGGGGAATGTAGGGTAAAACCCCACACAGTCAGTTGGCAAAAGCTTTGTACACCATCAATCATCTTACTGTGCCACAGAACTCAAAAAATCCTGTCATTCTGAATCATCACCTTTCGTTGCAGGCTCTGGACGAGACACGTCAGCCTCAAGCGAAGGTTCAGATGCGGAATTTAGTCACCAAACAGTGGGAAGGTCTCTATGACCTTATCACTTTGGGGCGTGGGTGTGCTTGTGTATCCACAGATACTGGGGTACCCTGGGTACCTTTGAAGTGTGTTCGTCCTGACCTGCGACTGCAGAGACAGAATCCAGCACACGGGCAAAATGGAAACCGTGACCAAACTGAAAGTCATCAAGTGGATGAATCGTTGAGTGATGACTCAGATACAGATGGTGTGAGTGATCACTCCGATGATTCCTCCATGAGTGTACACTGAATGTTGTTCATTTTTCCTTTTAACATTGTTCGTTTTTCTTTCTTTCTTTTTTTTTTTTAAATGGAAAAAGGGTGAGATGTCGCCCTGTTCTTTGAAGGTTCTTCTAAGCCTTCTGATGTTTACATTTTTGTAATGGAGTTTTTTATACACTTTCCATGTAAATAATGATTGTTTTGCAGTCCTTTCTGGAAGAGGAGAAAATTGGTGGACTGTTGGTTTGACCAGTGTGGTTGGAGAGGGGGCAATTTCATCCTCCAATCCATGGATGCTTTTGGAATTTTTAAATATCGAAGTCCAGAAAAAATTGTGCCTTTTTTGCCTTGGACATCTCAGGGTGTGAGTGTCGTTCATTTTGTGTCGTATTGCGACACCCTACCTCTCTAAGCAGCTGGATGCAGCAGCTAAGGGGTGGCCAGGACGCCCCAGAGCTGTTGTGGCAGTGGCAGTGAACATCCAGGAAGCACACAAGTTCACCCTGGGCCAGAAGATGACTGTGCTGGTGTCCCACACAGTGTCGGCAGTGCTGGAAGTAAAGGAGGGACATTGGCTCTCCCCACAGAGATTCCTGAAATACCAATCCATAATGGGGGAACAGGATGATGTAGAAACTGCAGTAACTAACACTGGGAACCCAGCTTCTTTCCTCAGTGCTTGTATGGGAGAAATGGTGTGTGACAGTGGTCACAAGGGTTGCAGGATGAAGAGAGAGGTGAGAATGTTGACCTCATGTTCAGAAGGCTTGATTTATTATTTTATGATATATATTACATTATGACTATACTAAAAAGAATAGAAAGAGAGTTCTCAGAAGGCTAGCTAAGCTAAGAATAGAAAAGGAATGAATAACAAAGGAGCTGTGTCCCGGCAGAAAGCGAGAACAGCTCTGCCGTGAGTAGCCAGTAAATCCAAACATCCACCAGAGACCAATCATGGATCCACCTGTTGCATTCCACAGCAGCAGATAACCATTGTTTACATTTTTTGCTGAAACTTTTGAGCTTCAGCAGGAAAAATCCTAACGAAAGGATTTTAATGAAAAGAGGTCTGTGACATGTCAGTTTTTTAATTTAGTTAATTAAAAAGTGTTTGTAATTTTCTCTGCTGTGCAGAGAAAATTATTGTGGTTATATGTTGCCAATCAAAACTTCACTCAAGTGCTGGTGTGGAATGAACAGGGAATTTCTTCACCTGTAGAACATACAATTCTATCAAATCACCAAAACAATTTTACAATATAAGAAAATGCAAAACCAATGCAAAGAAAGTTCAAGCCCAAACAGCTGAGTTTCAGGAAAAAGTCCATGGACTGAAGATGTTGCTCTTTGCCATCTCTGAAAGTCCCTTTTGGTCCTGAAACAGGCTTGCTGCAGAAAAGTCCATCAATAGTTATCAAAAGCCATTGACAGTCATCAAACAATTTCAAACAATTTGAGACAACTTCTGGAATGTCCTGCCACAGCCCTTTATTGAATAACTTTGGGCTGAAGCTAATTTTTGGCCCTTCAATGCTTCAGAGCTGCTGCCAGCTATTTCAAGTTTGTTTTGTTTTTTTTTTTTTTTTTTTTGTTTTTTTTTTTTTTGTGTGTGTGTTCAAAAAGAGCAGCAGCAGCAGAGCAGCCAAAGAAAGTCCCTGGGGGACCCTGGCCCATGTGGAGGGATCAGGAACCCCAGATCTGGCCCACAGAAAGGCGGGCCAGGACCGATAGGGAGAAGCAAAACCACCAAACCCATCAGGAGGCCGGGAGGTGGCCCTGGCCCAGGGACCCGAGCCCAACAGCCCAGGCCCAACATGGCAGGCGGGCTCTGCCTTCCCACAGCCTGGCCCCGCACTGCCAATGGAATGGTGACCAAACGCTTCTTTTCCCCAGAATCACCAAGGCATGCCAGCAGCAGGGAAATAGAAGAAGCCCCAAGAACCCTCATCTCGTGTCTAGGAATGTTTTTTCTCCACAGCAAACAAGCCATGATCGCTTCCCGCTGCGCCCTCTGCAATGCAAATGCAACGGGTGTGTCTCCCATCTGCCTCACGGCACCACCCCCTCTGGGCTGGGGACCAAAGGCAGAACTCTCGGCACCCACCTGCCCCTCGCTGCTGGGGCGCGAGAGGGGCGGCAGAGAGATTTGCAACCCCCCCCCAAGGGAAAGCAACTGACCAAACACCCCCAACCCGCCAAGAACGCTGATTTTGAACGCAGGCAGACGGGCTGCACCCACAGCCATCTGTCGGGCCATGCCTCCTCCACGGAAAGGGAGGCCGGCGCCCTCTTCCCCTGTCCCAGCTTCCCCCGCAGGGGCAGGCCCGGGACAGCCCGAAAAACTTGGGGGGGAAACCACGCTGGGTGCAGGAGCAGCTGCGGGCTGCTCCGAGGGTCCTGTGGGTTCGGCGCCGTCTTCAGCATCATCCTGAACAGGCACTGGCTCGGTTTGAGGCGGCGGGGCCGGAGAGGGCGCTGGTGGACGCAGCAGGACAGCCGGGGGGGCGGTGCCGAGTCGCTGTTGTCGCCGAGGGCGTCTCCTACCTACAGCGACGCAGCCGCAGGGAGCGGTGTTTCTGAGCTCTCAGGCGCAGGCGTGGAAGCCGGTGAAGCCACGGGCAGGACACCCGGGGAGGCGGCCGCGGGGCGGATCCAGGAGGAGGCCCTGCAGGCCTGGCAGGCGGGACTCGGAGACCGGTGCTGCCCCCATCTCTGAGCGGGGCAGGGCCCAGGAGGCCGGCCAGGGCGGGGCCTGCAGGGCTGTAAGGGGCGGTGCAGCCCACTCCTATCCCCCCGGAGAGAGAGAAGGGGGGGAAGGGATGGCTGCATGTGAGCATGCTGCGAAGACGCAGCAAAAAAAACTTTGGCTCCTGGCGAAACTTCCCCCCCACTGCCGGGATGCAGGGGGGCTGGGAAGCAACAGATCATCCCCCTCCACAGGATCTTCTCCCGCTGGAGTCAGAGGAAATGGGACGAGCCCGTTGCAGTTGGCAATCCAGGGAAAAACAGCTGCTCTTCGGTTCAAAACTGGAAAGAACATCCTAAATGCTGGATAAATCTGGGGGTATCCAAACCCACGGTCCAAAACGAATTGGAAAATGGAGTCCATGCACTCCCATAAGAAAGCATCAAGGGCACAGAGCACATTCATAAAGAACCCAAAAACTTTGCCCATTGAAAAAACTCACAGAAATCTGTCTCCAACAGGCAAAGTCCATCCTCTTCACCCCATTTTTGACAGAGGGCAATAAGTTTCTCCTCTAAAGGGGAGAACCGAACCTCCTCCTCTATGGGGGAAGCCCTCCACATCAGCAGCCACAAACTACGAAGGGCCACATCTTCAGGAAGGGAAAAGCCAACAGTACCTTTTGAAAGAGTCCAGCGTGCTCTGGCCAGCTCCATTGCGCTACTGTGCTTTCCAAACATCTTCCTGGAGGCTTTTCAGAAGGTTCTCTTTGTGGTCAGCCTTGCTGTGAACTCCAAATCAGGATCTTCAGTTCTTCAGCTCCTGGCTAGAATCCACTTCTGTGGTCACTTGTGAAGCAACCATCAATGCCACACATTCGGGGTTTACCCAGTGCAGCAATTGTTCCTCTGGGGGTCTCTCCAAGTAATTTGCTCTTCAGACGAGGGGTCACCAATTGATGGTTTTGTCCTCTTCACTTACTCAGGGTTCACCAATAGTCACAGTGGTCACATGGGTCTTCAGGGTGTAAAGAGAGACGAGAATGTTGACCTCATGTTCAGAAGGCTTGAATTATTATTTTATGATATATATTACATTATTACTATACTACAAATAATAGAAGGAAAAGTTCTCAGAAGGCTAGCTAAGCTAAGAATAGAAAAGAATGAATAACAAAGGTCTGTGCCCCGGCAGAAAGCGAGAGCAGCTCTGCCAGGAATGGTCAGTAAATCCAAACATCCACAGGAGACCAATCACGGATGCACCTGTTGCATTCCCCAGCAGCAGATAACCATTGTTTACACTTTGTTGCTGAGGCCACAGCTTCTCAGAAGGGAGAAAAATCCTAAAGAAAGGATTTTTATGAAAAGATGTCTGTGACACCCCACCTATCTCTCTAACCCTCAGATGCCTTGCCTACCTTTTTGCCGTGGATCTTGTCCTCTGAGAGTTCTGTCGTTGTCCTGGTGTGAGGGTTGCTGTCCTGTCCCACCGGGAGGGTTCCGCTCTGGTCTCGCTGTCAGGGTTGCTGTGTTGTGCTGCTGTTGGGGGGAAAAGGCTGTGCTGTTGTTAGGAGGGCTGCTTAGGCTGAGGTGAGGGCTGGGCTGAGGGCTGGTGCACCTGTACCCTAACTTGCCTCCTAAGCTGTTCCCTGTAGCCCTGATCTCCAGTGCACTGTGCAGCCCTCAAGCCTTCTCCCTTGACCCCTCAAGCCCTCCCTCAACCCCTCAGGCTCTGTCTGTCACCCTCAAGCCCCCCTATGCCCCTCAAGGCCCCTCTCAGCTGCCCCTCAGCTCCTGTGTGTCACCCTTAATCCCTCTCCTTTGCCTCTCAGCCCCCAGCTTCTCAGTGTCACCCTCCATCTGCCCCTGCCACCCTCAGCATCTCTGGATGTCACCCACTGTCCCCTCTCCCTGCTCCTCCCTCAGCTCCCAGCCTCTGCCACCCTCCAGCCCCCACAGTACCCCTCAAGCTGCCCCTCAGCCTCTGTCATGCCCTGAAAGGACCCTAAAAAACCCTCTCAAATCCCTAAAAAAGGCATAGTTTTCAAAGTGTCCTAAACACCCCACAAAAACAAAAAATATCCTCAGAATACACTAAAAACACCCTACTTTTAAAAAGCCCCTAAAACACCTCTAAAAATCTCCAAAGAACCTTTTGGGACTACTTAGAGATTTTTTAAAGAGCTCTGAGAATACCCCTAAAATCTTGAAAATGCCCTGTAAGACCCTAAAAAAGCCTGTAAAATTCCCCCAAAACCCCTAGAAATACCCTAGTCTTAAAAAAAGTTCTCCATTTACCCTCATACTCTTCACGAAGCCCTAAAACCTTTTAAGTAGTCCTTAAAAAGCCCCCAAAATATCTGCAAACACCCCTAACAATTCCAATTAGTGGTAAGACATCCCTTAAAACACCCTAAAATGTTTTTTTAAAAGCCCTGAAAAAGCCTTAAAGGTTCCTAAACATTCCCAGAGAATTCCTAAAAAACTCCTGCAAAAAAACCCCCTAAAATATCCTTAAAAATCCCTGCAAAAAAACCTAATAAAACCCCTAAACGTCTGTTCAACTCTTACCTGTAACTCTGTGGCCTCCAAACCTCATCTCTACCTTCCAATCGGGGTAACTGCCTGCACCTGCTGGGAGGGCTCTGGGGCTGTCCCACCGTGAAGGTGGCACCTGTGCCCTAACGCTGCCTGGTACCCCGTGTCCTTTGCACCCCAACCCTCAGGGTCAGCTGTCCAGCTGTCAAGCCCCCCCATCTCTGCCCCTCAGCAATGTCTGTGTCTCCCAGAGCCGTGTCCAGGATCCCACGTGCTGCCGCAGGGAGTCACCGGTGGGCAGTGGGGGAAGTGAGGGACGGGGCAGGGGCGACGTGGATTTCAGAACCCCAGCAGACGGCCGGGCACTCAGCACCACAGGCACCCGAACACCAACGCCACCATTGTTCCTTGCCCACAAAACTCATCAGGCCAGGTTCCTGATGGCAGATTGCAGGAGCTACTTGGCACTGTCAAACCAACCCTGCCAGCTTTAATCTGGGAGGCATCCTGCGCAATGTGGGATTTCAGCAGCCAGCTGACCACTCCGGGACACAGGCCCCTGAACAGCAATGCCAGCCCATTTCCCTGGAAACAAAACTCACCTGGCCAGGTCCCTGATGGCAGATTGAAGGAGATACTTGGCACTGCTAAACCACCCTTCCTCCTGCAGGGCCATTCAGCTCCCTTCTCTGTCCAAGGCCCGGCTCCCCTCACCCGGCCGCATGGCTTCCCCTCCCACACCCAGCCCGCAGCCGGGCAGGGCAGCTCTGAACCTTCCACCCACCGGAACCAAGAGAGCTTCCCCTAGGAGTTCTCCGCTTTTAACCCCCTGTGTGCTCAGAGGTGAATCCATGTCCTATGGGGCCACACCAGGGGCCAGTATTCAAATCTGAGCACAGATTGGTTTGACCACAGCATCCTAAAAAACTCACTTCCTTTTCAAACCAGGACAGCGGGACCAAGGGATCCGACCAGTAAATCCTGAACGAGCTCAGTAACCCAAAAAATGGGGGTTAAATGTGAAATGAGCGGCTCTGATTGGCTGGTCCAGCACAGCCCGCGTCTCCCCATCCCGACCCCCACCTGCCCAGCGCCCCAAGGTTCCCCCGGCCAAAAAACCCCCAGCCCGGGGCTGCAGCGTCCCGGAAAGGCCTCAGCCAATGGCAGCGCAGGCAGGAGGCGGTGCAGCCAATGAGCGGTCGGTGCGTTGGATTGCCTCATCGGTTGTAGGGCAGAGCCCGTGGCCGGTCGCTGCCCAGAAGCGGCGGCAGCCAATGAGAGCGCGCGGCGCTGCCGAGCCCGCCCTGCTCCGGACTGGCGCTCCCAGCGCAGCGCGGCTGCTTTGGGGCTGCTGCTCCCTGCCCGGCCCCGGCCATGGGGCGAGGGGCGGCAGCTGGGGCCCTGCTGGTGGCACTGGTGGTGCTGGGAGCCCCCCCGGCTGCGGGCGCGGAGCTCTCGGGTGAGCGGGGGGCGGGAGGCGCTGGAACAGGGGGGGAGAAGGGGGAAAAAGGGGGCGAAGTGGGGAGGCCGGAATGGAGGGCGAGGAGGAGGGGACCCCCAAAGGGAGAGCGGGGTGGGGGGAGGGGTGGGGAGGGGGAGGTGGGAGAGGGTGGGGAAGGGGGGAAAAGGGGACGGGATGACCCCAAACTGACCCCGAGGAGGCCGGAGATTGGGGGATTTGTGGGGAAATGGGGCCATAAAAGTGATTTGGGAGTGGCTGCATGTCGGAGGGGAGCGGCTGTGAAAGGGGAAATGGGGGAAGGGCTGCAAAGAGGAAGCGGCAGGGGGGGCAGGAGCGTCCCGTGGCGGCCGTGGGGCACAGGGGGTGCGGAGTGGGGATCCGGGGTGGCTCCCGGAGCTCTGGGGGTGCTGCTGGGGGGTGCTGAGGGGGGCACATCCCTGAGCTGTGTGCTGCACTCACAGGGATGTTCCAGTAGATGCATAAGGCCGATTGTCTCTTCATTAAGGGCACTGAGAAGGTGAGGTTGGTGCTGAGGTTCATCTACAACCGGGAGCAGTTCCTGACGTTCGACAGCGACGTTGGGCACTTTGTGGGGTTCACCCCCTTAGGGGAGAAGAATGTCAAGAAGTAGAACAGCGACCCGGCTATAATGGAGTTCATGCGGGCTCACGTGGACAGGTGCCGGCACAACTACGAGATTGCTGCCCCGATCACTGTGGAGCGCCGAGGTGAGCGCGGGGCAGAGCGTGTCCCCTCGGGCCCTGCCCTCCCAATGACCCTGGAGCCTCTCAAAACCTCCCCAAGAATCGCCCCAGAGCTCTCAGCCCTCCTTGTGCCCATCCCCGGGGCCTCCTGTTCCCCCATTCCCTCCCAGTGCCTCCCAGTACTCCCTCCCGCGTCCATTTCAGCGACGCATTAAGCTGACGCTTCCCAGCCAATGAGATCGCGCACCGCTGATGACTCATCTGTTCCTTGGTAGATCCCCAGCGCCGAGTGCCCCGCGCTGGACGCGGCCGCTCAGTGCCGCG